CCCAGGCAGGACAGGCTGTCTGAGGCTGTGAACTTCCACAAAGCCATATCTGAAGATGAGGAAGGGATGGGGAATGCCTGGCACTATTGCCTCCCACCAACACCAGGCCCTTCACTCAGAGTCTGCTAAGTGGACTCTCTCAAAGGTCTCCTTGCCAGGACAGCCTTCAAACTTATCCAACATGCCATCTTGAGAACCAGAGGCTCGGAGGAGACCTCAATCTCTGTAGAGTTATTCCCCAGAGGTCTTTTGAGGGCAGAGCTGATAATATGAAGTGCTGAATTGACTCCAGGCCAGGACCTGGAGATACATAGGTATGTGGCTTCTTAGCCATTCTCAGGGCATGCAGGTGGGTATAACCTGGGGCTGCAGGGAAGGCGGCTGCCTGTAGCTATTTCTCCACCTTGATAATGAGTCAGAAAAGGCACAATTAGCTCTTCCTGCCTGAACCCCCACAAAGCTTCTTTACTTTAAAAAAAAGTCCATGGAAATTTTGTTTTAGTCTATCTCTACTAAGACACGTTTTCTATGTTCCTTGACTTCCTTCCCTGCATGAGGACAAGGCCAACATAGCCTTGGACAAACTGGACAGATATTCTTCAAACCAGAGCTCTGCTACATTCAGACCCCAGGAAAATGTGTTTGACTGTGATCAGAAGAGTTGATTTGAGATTTAATGAAGGTGACAGGTACAGAATGCTTGGCACAGTGCCTGACAGAAAATAAATGATATTTGTTGCTTATTAATGGTGGTGATTGTTATGACATTGATACTGATACTGATCAAGGATGCAGTTTGAAGTTCAACACTGTGGGTCTCAGCTGCTGGGAGGATTGATAAAGAGAAGAGAGAGCAGCAAGGAACTTTGACCAGGTAGGTGGCAGGTGTGCCTGGGGACAAACCATTCTTCCATCCAGCAGTCTGAATCCCCTTTGCAGCTTTTCAGGCCTGATCTCTGCCCCCTCACTCCATCTCAGGTGGCCAGGGCCTCACACTGCAGTGTTCCTTGGTGCCATCTGTACTCTTGATCTATCCACCCACAACACAACTTATCCAGCCAGGCTCTCAATCCTTCATTACACTGCCCTTGGCTAGGGATCAGATAACTAATGTAAAGATGGCATTCGTGGTTATCTCCCAGAAATACCACTATTTAGTCCAAGGGCTACAGGTCGGGATTTCTTGATCTAATACTAGTTTGAAAGGAAGATGGTTTTAATCAGAGTTATTCTTAGGACTCTTTAATAAAATCAGGACCTTGAGTGCTTACCATCTTTGCCTATGGATAGCATCAACCCTTAAAGCAAGTTATCAGTATTCCCACGTATTAAGGAAGTCTCAAAATCCCTGGCCTTGTTCATGACTAAGCTACTGTTCTATTGAGAATTTCTGTTACTTTTTAAATTTTTTTTTTTTTTTTTGGCTACGGCTGGGTTTGAACTTACCACCTCTGGCTTATAGATAGGGGTGGTGCCCTACTTCTTTGAGCCACAGGTGCCACCCTGTATTGAGAATTTTTGGAACATCTTTGGGCTCACTTTCCTCCATCTGAAAAATGGGCATATGACATATATTTCTATTCACTGTCTCTTAGGGGTGGCTTTTCCTGAAGAATGAACACATGACAAAGAGGCATGAACAGAGGACCAGAGGACATTGTCTGAGTCCACTGGAGACAGGAAAGGGAAGCTGGCAGAATTAATGCCAAACTTAGTAGTTCTAGAACTATTTAACAATACTTAGGCCCTTATCCTGAAATACTGATACAAGTTGATACAGAATGAAATGTGAGCATCGGAAATTTATAATAGATGCTAAAGTGATTCTTTTGGGCTGTCCAGACTTAGAACCACTATCTTAGAAAAGTATCAGTAATACAAAGCAGGTGAAAAACGGCATCATGGTAGGTGGGTCTTAAGCTCTGTTCTGGAAGCACTCAGCAACTGTTGTTCAAAGGGTTTCACACCATCACTGAAGTTTTGGGGAAAGAACTCTTGAGAAGAAGCCAAGGATCACTGAATGGTAGGTTAAAGAAGCCCTCAAAAGTCACCTCCTTCAATGCTCTTCCTCATTTCTGTGTGAGCAGTGGACATTCCATCTACATGTCTGGGCCTCAGTTTCCCTGTCCATTAAATGAACACGTTGGATTGGATAAACTCAAGAGTATCTTCCTGTTCTGTTATTCTATGAGACTAAGAGAATCATCCAGCATCAGAAGTAGAAATTATAATTGCAGATGTACGTTGAGATTCTCTGTTCATTTGTTGCCCTGGGAAGTCTTCTGAGTCACAGGTTCTTGGGCTCCAGTCTCTTCACTGCTAGCCTATGGCAGCCTGGGCTCCTCAAGTGGCAGCTGGAGCTCCATCCTTGGGGCTCCCACCGCCCAGTTTTCTCCAGAGAGGGGAAGGGTTTCAGGTGATCCTTCAACATGCAGCCCGTATTAAATGCAGGAGCAGCCTCGTAGCATTCTCTCTGCTCCCTGGCGAGCACTGGCCTAACCACTGCTGGTATCTGCAGAGGAAGTGGTGGAATGCAGAAGTTTACAGGACATTAGTGTATATTCATCTTCCGGTCCCAAGCCCCTGGAACGCAGCCAGCAGTTGCTGTGCCACTATGCTCCTTGTCCTCCTCTGCTCAGTAGCCTTGGGCAGCCTCAGAGTTTCCCCCCTCCATGCTTTTCTAAAGGCATGGGCCTCTGAGCAGAACTTATGGAAGCTGGGCAAAACGACAACAAATTGTTATTGCTTACATTCTATGCAGCAGTCGCTGTCATAGGAAGGCCACGGACAACTGAAAGGGTCAGCCAGACCCCTAGTACAAATTGTCCTATCTGGTGCACAAACTTATTGGAAAACCATCCATCTGCCTCAAACTTAAGAGTGCCCTGATATGCACAAGGCTTGTGGCTGTAAGGGAAAAGAAGTTCTGCAGGGAAGAGGGTGAGGGGTTTTAAAGTACACACTGCAGACCTGTGTAGGTTCTCAGCCTGAGAACCGTAGAAGAGGGGGTGGAGGCAGGATGGGGTGTGGTAAGACTAAGGCAGATTTAGTAGAGTCCTGTCCATGGAAGGGAGCTCCAGCGTTCAACAGCATAGCTGGCAGGTCAGTATCTAGGTTACAGAAACTGGCCCCTTGGTCCAGGTGAGGCCTGGAGATCCCCTGCCATGTGTTTCCTTTTGGGTCATAGAGTACAGTGGCATCCAACCCCAGATTCTCTTCCTTAGTCTGCCTTTGGTCTCATGAGAAAAGCTCTGACTTTTGTGTTCTCCTTGTACCGAGGGTGGCACTGGACTAAGTAGTACCAACTTAAAAAAGCCAGACGACTCTTTTGATTATGAAGAGGAATCGACACTCCCAGGCTGCCCAGTACTTCTGAAGTTGGAACAGCTGCTCTGCTGCCCCACAATCCTGGTGGGAGGGACAGGGTGGGAGGCATTGCCAGACCAGGAGGGGGTGGGGATCCAGATGTGGCTGAGCGCGGGCTTCCAGACCCACCAAGGTCTTAGAACATAAGCCTCAGAGCGAACAGACTTCAAGGCCTCCTCTTTGTACCTTCTGATGAATGCGCTCCTTGGAATCATGATGGCAGCCACTTTCATTCTTGACTCTGCTTTAGCGCCCAAATGGTCCATGTGAGGAACTGTGGGAGAACATGGGACACACACTGGCAGAACTGCAGGCCTTGTCAGCATGAAGCAGGTTGCCAGTAAGTACTCCTATGTTTGCTGCTCTGTAATTACAAAACAAGTAAACCCCAGAATAGCAGATATTTTTTTGGTTTTCTTAATAATGTTCCAGATCAATTAACTCCCACCCCCAATCTTCTGTAAACAGGCCTGAAAGGGGACCCATCAATCTGGTACTCACAGGGCTGGGTTGGTGGAGCAGGGCCTTAAGAACTGGACCAAGAAACACCAGCCCTCCTGTCTGTTCCTTTCACACTGTGGGTAATAAGTCATGACCACAGGCGAGGGACTAACCAGATTAAGGAAGATTAAGAGAGAACAAGAACTCCTCTGGGGAAGACTGCTGGGAAGGCTGAACCCTCACTGTGGCAAGCACATATTTGAAACCACTGATTAAGTCCTGGGGTTCCAAGTACATTTATGGGAGAAATGGGCTGAAAGACAGACTTGATACAGGTGATAGCTGCTGAGCCATGGGCCGGGGTCTGCAGAGCTGGAGAACACCGATTGATCTTTGTTTTTAACTTATCATTCCATTTCTGTCCTGTGTATGCTTTATAATATGTATAATGTAATACTATAGTAGTACCTGTATATAATTGATAAATAAATAAATATATTTATATTGGGAGTATATGCATGAACATTTTCTACTGATGGGGTACATAGTCAAGACTGGAGTTCCTCAAACTTTTTAAACAGGGGGCCAGTTCACTGTCCCTCAGACCACTGGAGGGCTGGACTATGGGCCCTGGGATGAGTCAGCTGCTAAGCAGGGCAGGCAGCAGAGGCAATAACATCTGGCGGGCTGGATAAATGTCCTAGGCAGGCCGCATATGGCTCATGGGCTATAGTTTGAGGACGCCTGGTCAAGACAGTTGGAGACCACTTACTTAAAATGATAATTGAACACATAGGAGAGCCAACCAACCCACGGAGGGATGGTGACACAGGAGAAATCATCAGCTGTCCGCTAGGAAAGCCCCTCTCTCAGCTATTGTCTAGTGCCTGATGTCCTGGAGGCGGGGGAATCACTTGCATTTTGGTGAAAGAAAAAAACAAATAGTACTCTCATGACTATTGCTGTCCACACCCGCAACAAGGGGGTCACATCATAGTAGGGAAGCCTTTGTTCCCAATGGCTCTGTACACAGTGGTGGCCAGTGAAAGGCAAGTTGGGGACTGGAATCCAGCCTGTGCCCTCCTCACTAAACCAAGTGCCCCAGAGATGGATGTATCTTCCCTAGGAAAGAGTCGTCTTGTACTATTTCTCAAAAAGGTGCTGTATGATTAGCAGTAGCCTGTTTTCCTTTTTTGCTTTATTTGAATATAATTTTTGTCTTTTATAAATACAGTTTGTTGATGGGTGTGTCTTAGCCTAATAATGGTTGAGAACCCCTGACGGATGAGCATTGTGGCGGGGGTGGCAGAATGGGGCTCTGGTTTCTGAAGATGCAGCCTCTCAAAGCCCAACACTCCACAGGTGAGCGAGTGCTCAAAAGCCAAATACCATTTTCTGCCCCGTGTCTCAGAGATGTCCTGAGGCTATCTGACAAGGTGAGTTGTTCTACACGGGAAACAAAGAACTATCACATCAGTCCAGCCTTTATTGGAGCCAGCCTGTTGCATGGGTGAGATGTGGCCTGCCTCATTGTCTCCACTGGAGATAGGCATCCAGCCACGGAAAGTTCCATTTGATTCTGCTTAAGACTGCAGCAGAATAACACAATTCCTCTGAATACAGTGATGTGCCATCACAGATGTCCACACCTGTCCGTGTTCACCCTCATCTCCCTGCAAACTCCACTAATTTATTTTCTGGGAAATGAAATGTCTTCCCCCCAAATATCTTTTCCCTCTTAGAGAATAGTTTTGCTTCCCAGTCATCAGGTAGCACCAAGAAAGGCCGCAGAGTGGACCTCCCTCGGGCTGTCCCCATAAGGTTCATGGGACACTCAAGCCTCCGCCTTGGGTTCCTTCATGGATTTGACAAATTCCTTGACTTCTTCTTCCAAGGCCTTGTTTCTCTTCTCAACATCCTCCCGGGAGCGCTCCACGTTGCGCAGGCTGATCTCCAAGGCTGCAAATTTTTTCTTTTCCTTCTCTAGTTCTTCACTGAGCCTCACCACCTTAGCCCAGACGTCATAATTTTCCTTCTCAAGGCTAGAGGAGGGAAAGAAAAGAATGAAAGACAGGGCATTCATTCTAGGCACTTCCTTCCCCCTTGATCACCACCTTCAGGTCTAATATAGGATTTAGTATATTTTTACCTCTACAGCACTTTGTACCAGTCCTGCTCAACAGAAACTGCAGGTTCTGGATTCCTCACACCTTTGTGCACATGAGAACCCCCTCATTCTTCTTTGGTGGAAAGCAAATACCTGCACCCACTCTTATTAGGAGCCTCTGGGGGAGGTGCCCTTTGGGGAACAGTGGTCCTGGCAGTCCCACCCTCACTTCAGAATCCTGCTCAGGAATCTGCAAACCTGTAGGATTCCTGAATTCCTGAAATTCCTGTAATTTTCATTGTTATTGGCCAAAATCCTGATGTAGTTCCAGGTGACTCCCTGCCAGGCTAAGCAGAATTAACCCTTAGAAATGAGTGTCCATATGCTATTTATTAAGGCAGAGGAGGGGATTTCAGAACTGGTGTGTGGGGAGATTGTGCTTCAGAATTTCATTCTATGGGGTGCTGCTTTGCCTCTCCCTGCATGACCTGCCCACTCTATTTCCATATGGAGACATGAGCTCATGCTTTGGGTTCTATCTTCAAGGCCTTGGCCCATTTTGCAGAGGATGTCCCCTGTTCAGAGCCTTGCCTCCTCCTCCCTGAAGGGAGGAGGTTAATTTGGTCTCATTCCTTCTGACTCCCTCATTGCAAATCTAGTTTTCTCCTACAAGTTTTCCATACTCTCTGGCTCTGGGGGAAATCCCAAGTGAGACACTGGCTAGATCCTGGCCACCAGTTCCAAGTGGGGGAGGTGGAGTCTGTGGGCTGAGGCCTAACATGGGAGGCTTCCCTGACAGGTGGCTTCTGTGCCAAGCAGGAGGATCAGCCATCTCTGCAGGGGCCAGTATTTTTCTGCTTTGTCAATAACACTCCCTATTAGACTGCAGTGTAGCCTTTTCTGTGTCACTTTTCTCTGCTTGGGTTACTGCCAAGATGCCACAGAAGTCCTGTAATTCTGTAGGTGATTGAGTTCAGGTTCTTAGACAAAGGAGCGACATTGTGCTTCCAGATGGTGGCCCTCTGTGGGAATACCAGATGAGGGCTCACAGAAGTCTGTCTTTCAGGTACCTGAGTCTTAATGGATGAAAACACACCCATAAATGTGAAAATCCCACAAACTGAAACTTCACCGCTTCACAACTAATATTGATATGGGATGGCTGGATTGAGGTTTTCCTCCCATGAGAAAGAATTTGCTGGCCAATCAACAGTGTGAAAAGATTTCAAGAAAATGCTTTATCTACCTAACAGAATAAATTGTGTCCAAGTATCTGTGGAATTTGCATGTGATGGTGGCAAAGTCTGCCCAGGTAGTCTCCTGCCTGTTTGCCTCCTGCAGCCTCTGCCCAGGGGGAAGTCAGTGATCTCATGAAACCTGTGCCCAGGGGGAAGCCAGTGATCTCATGAAACATAAGCCTGGTTGAATAAGTCCAGGTGTTTCCACCTCTCCTACCAGTTACTCTCCCCTGCCCCAGCCACTTCCACACTCCCTCTGTGAGACGGTGCTGGTCTTGCTCCCTTCTCATGACCTTGGTCTCTGCTCTTGCTCTGCTCTACCTGACTGCCGTGCACCTGCTCCCTCAGCTTCTTCCTGCCTTTACTTACATGCTGCCTTCTCAGGGAGGCCTTCCCTGACCCCTCTATTTGACATTAGAACATTTGACTTGAATTCTCCAACCTCTTGACCCCCATTATTTTTCTCTATAGCATTTTCCACCAGCTGGCATAACATATATTTTATTAAACAGTGTATATATCTGTGTATATATATGTAAATAATATATAAATATATATGTTTATTGTCTGTCTGTCCCCACTAGAGTAAAAACTCTGTAAGTGTAGGGACTTTTATCTCTTTTGTTCACTGCTGTTCCCTTAAACCTGGAGTGGTGCCTAACATAGAGGAGGAACTTGAGAAATATTTTCAAAATCAATGAGTGACATTTATATGAAAAATGTTTAAAGTTCCTTTAAATTCATTAAATCATGTTAATCCTTAAAGAACCACTCTTTGGAAATCGCTGATTAAGCTAGTTAAGGTTAATAAACATAATCAAATTTAGAGCATTTGCTAATTTCATCAGCTCATCATTCCCTTTACCCATATCAGGCCTAACTGCTGTTGACTGTTGTCTTCCCCAATCAAACCTTTTTATTATGATTTCCCTTGCAGATGAAAACAGTTTCTATTGTTTCTAAAGATGGCAGCTAAGTGCCACCCAGTGCTTCTCTGTATAGAACTTCTCCAATGTGTGGGACTTACTTTTTAATCTGTTCCTCATACATTTGCTTCTGTGTTTCTATTTTCTTCTGCAGCTCCTGGACCATCCTCTGCAAAGAATCAAGATCCTCTTCTCCAGAGTTCTTTTTGCCTGACCCAGTTTCAGAGTTTGGGCTGGCAGGAATATCTTTCCTGGAGTCACAGGCATGGGAAGAAAGTGGACCTGCTTCATCCCCAGGGGATGCTGGTGTGGCAGGGACATTATCATAGGTGGAAGTCCTCTGGGCATCAGAAAAGGGGTGCAAATCTTGAGACATTGCTCTCCTGTGCCCTTCTCCTGCCTTGGACTCTGAAGAAGGCGACCAGAACTCATTTTTAAAGATCTCCACTTTGCTGTTGTTGGTACCTTGAAAAGCTGATGTCAAGAAGCATTTTCGGTTAGGAAGTGTTTGTGTCCTTTTTCGAGATTGTGTCTTCCAATCTCCTGGCTTTTCCTTGGGGTCTTTGCTGCTGTCATCCAGATGCCCATCACTTGGCTGTCGTCCAGTGGGGCTGGTTGTGTCAGAGTCACTTGTCTAGAATAAAAATGGCCATTGGTGTTACATGGGCTCTCCCCCATCTCATGTAAGACAGGAAATGTTTCCTAGTTGCACACCTATGAAACTCTTAATTAGAAAGATGCTCATCTCTTCTAACTTATCACATAGTTATTATCTGCATTTTCCCCCCTAAAGAGTCTTACACTTAAAGGAACTCATTCTCTAGAGATGAAGTGCCCACTAAAATCAATTGTTTGTGATAGAGAGTCCTAAACTGGGATCCTAATATAACTTTAGATGTGGAGGTCTTTCAATTATGACTCAAAATCTGGAAACTATCAAAGAAAAGTTCGAAAAATTCAACCTACATGAATTCCTGTGACCTAAAAAATTTAAAAACAAAAATAAAAATAAAAATAAAGAAACAAATGACAAACTGACAAAAGTATTTGCACACTTCTCACAGATAATAGGCTAATCTTTCTAGTATGCAAAGTTCATAAAAATTGAGAATAAAAACCAAACAACTAGTAAAACTATGGGAAAATAACAAGATCAGACAGTTCACAGATGAAAAAAATGGAACCGACCCTTGCATATATGAAGAGATATTCAGCTATGCTTTCCTAGTATGTGAAACTCAAGTTAAAATGACTCACATCCCAGTTCTTACCTATCAAATAGGCAAATCCCCAGAATTTGACAATATACTCTGTTGGTGAAACGGTAGGAAAACAAGTCCTTTCATGTATTGGTTTTGGAATTATAAAATAGAACAAATTCTAATAATTTTTATCAAAATGCCACATTCAAATATATTTATCCCATGACCCAGCAATTCTTCTTTCAGAAACTTATCCCAGAAATACATCTGCCTAAGTACAAAAGATCTGATCAATTCACCATAGTCTTGTTCATAACGTGAAGGACTAAAGCCAACCTGCTTATTGATAGAGGGTGACTGAGTAGATTGTGGTACAGCTGCAGAATGGAACACTATACAAAAACATGAGGTCATGAGAGGGGATTGTCTATGCACTGATGTGAAAAGTCTTCACAATATACTATTAAGTATAAAAATGCAGTGTACAGAGGTAGGGGTGTGTGTGCACGCGCGTGTGTATGAGAAGAAGAAGAGAGACAGAAACATGAATTCTACTACATTTTGTGTAAAAAGGAAGGTAAATAATTTACATTCCTGTCTTCTTATATTTGCATAGAAGGATAAATAAGAAACTAATAAAGACAGGGAGAGTTGGGGTGGATGAGAATGGGGAGGAAATGGGATCCCTCAATGAATACCTTTTATATCTTCTTGATTTTTTTAACCATGTGTATATATTATATATCTTAAATTAAGTTATACAGAAAAAGAAAAAAAGGAAGAAAATGAGAGAGCAAGAGTGATCTCTAAACATAGCATTGGAAAATCAAGGCTCAAGCTCTCCCTCTCACCCTTCTGGCTAATCACCTTGTCAGCAACCTTATCTGGAGTTAGAAGCATCTGGGTCCCAAAGTGAGAACCAGATCTGAGTCCTACTCTATAACATGCTGCTACCCTGAGGCAGCTGGTCAACCTCTCTGAGCCTCAGCTCCTCAATTATAAAATACGGATGAGAAATTCTGCCATGCAATGTAATGGGGGGGGACTCTAGAAGTGATCTACTTAAAAGTCTCAGCACAATGCCTGTCTATAACAACCAACCAACAGCAAAAACCTGTTGAATGAGTGTGTAATGATGGCTATTCTTAAGGTCTGCTGGGTTGATCTTATTACACGAAGTATAAACATGTCTAAATTTTAATTTAGTTTTAGAGTATTAGTAAGATGCTAAGTCTCCAAATTGACCTCACCTAGTTAATTGACCCTCACAATCATTACTACGACCTACCCTTCTTTTCATCTTTATGATTAACAGTACACAGGGACATGGTCCCCTGACTCCAACTGGTCTGGCAAGCAGAGGCTAGCTGTGTGTGGACTGAAACCAGAGGGTGGGCCCAGTGCCCTGACTCCAATAGAGCCTGCAAACAGAGGCTTGCCAGGTAGTGGACTGAGATTGGCAGGTGGGGACATGGTCCCCTGACTCCAAGTGGTCTGGCAAACAGAAGCTAGCTGTGGACTAAGACCAGTGGGCAGGGTCCCTGGTTCCAACTGGACTTGTGAGCAGAGAAGTGGACAACAGTGTGGACTGAGTTTGGCGGATGGGGGTGTAGATTGCTGGTTCCAATTGTACTGTTGGAGACCCTGGAATCCCTCTCTGTTGAGCAGGGTTTGCACTGCCTGAGATGATTTAATTGAAACCTGTGTCTGCAGCTGTCCACTCAGGGACATTTGGAGGTTGACTTTTGAAGTTCTGTAGTGGAAAAGAACTGAATGATGGGGGCTGAGCACCGCAGCTGTTTGTATATCTCTTCACAGTTGAGATTTAAACCTAATACTGTGGTTTCTTAGGATACGCTAGAGGTTGGCTGATATCAAAACAGAGCTACTTTGCACTATCTCACCAAGTAGGTCCTCTGAGCCTCCAGCCAAAACCCTGAAAGGGGCCTTTGTAAGGTTGTAGGAGATAAGCCACAATTACAAGGCCTAGCACTTTGGTAAGAGGCTATCTCTACTACCTGGGAACCCCAATTCAATCTCACCCTACCAGTTTTAATAACCAAATGGTGGAAAATAAACATGCTGCGGACCCAACAGAAGAACTCTAGCAACATGAATTACTAGAGTAGATCAACCCCCACCCCCACCAAGAAATGACAAAGGAGATACAACTGAAAATGCCATGCATAGACAAATGGCAGCAATGTCAGAAATTGAATTCAGAATATGGATTGCAAATAAGATAAATAGAAAGGAAGAAAAGATAGAAATTGAATTCCAAAGAGTAGTTCTAAAGTTGTCTCAAGAATTAATGAATTCAAAGCCCAAGTTACCAAAGATATGGACATAATGAGAAAAGAGATAGCAGAGCTCATGGAAATGAAAAAGTTAGTTGAGGAGTTCCAAAATACAGTAGAATCCCTCAGTAATAGAGTTGACTAGGCAGAAGAAAGGATCTCTGAAACTGAAGAAAAAGCTTTTGAATGTTTCCAAACACTCAAAGAGGCAGACAAATGTAGAGCAAAAACTGATCATTCCCTGAGAGAGTTGTGGGATTACTCTAAAAGATCAAACATTCGTCTTATAGGAATTCCCAAAGGAGAAGAGCATGGTCCTAAAGGTACAGATTCTCTACTCCAAGAGATTTGGGAAGAGAATCTCCCGAGCACTGCAAGAATATAGAACTTCAGATAGCAGACAGTTTCAGAACCCCAGCAAGACTCAATCCAAATAAAGTATCTCCTAGATACATTGTGATTAACTTTGCCAAAGTTAAGACAAAGGAGAAAATTCTGCAAGCCAAGTGTAAGAAAAGCATCACCTACAAAGGGAGAAATATCAGAATGACTGTAGATCTCTCAGCAAAATGTTTCAAGCCAGAAGAAGATGATCATTAACCTTCAATCTCCTAAAACAAAACTACTTCCAGCCCAGGATCCTGTATCCAGCTAAACTGAGTTTCATTTGTGATGGGGAAATCAAATACTTTAAATTTGCCACAACTAAACCAGCTCTCCAGGATATTTTCAGATCCATCCTCTACAATGATCAGCACAATGCTCTACCTCCAAAGTAAAATCACCTAGAAATTTTTGAACAAAACCCAACTTCCACAGTGGTGAAAGGATTAAAAATGTCCACTGGACATCCGAAAATCATGACACCCAAAACACAACCAGGCTTATCAATTCTCTCAATTAATGTAAATAGTTTAAATTGTCCTTTAAAGGGGCACAGGCTGGCTGACTGGATACATAAACTCAGACTGGATAATGCTATACACAAGAATCTCACCTTACCTTAAAGGATAAAAATAGACTCAGGGTGAAAGGATAGACTTGTGTAATACAGGTAAATGGAAACCAGAAAAAAGCAGGGGTTGCAATTTTAGTAGCAGATATAATTGGCTTTAAACCAACAAAGATAAAGAAAGATAAGGAAGGTCAGTACATATTTGTCAAGAGAAACACCCAACATGAAGAGATTTTGATAATTAACATTTATGCACCCTACCAGAATGCTCCTCAATTCATAAAGTAGATCCTAATGGATACGAACAACTTGATATCTTCCTGCACTATAATAGTTGGAGATTTTAACACCCCTTTGACAGTTTTGGACAGATCCTCCAGAAACTAAACAAAGAAATATTAGACTTAAACCTGACCCTAGAACAAATGGACTCTACAGAACATTTCACCCTAATAAAACTGAACATATATTCTTCTCATCAGCCCACAGGTCATCCTCCAAAATAGATCATATCCTAGGACACAAGTCTAATCTCAGCAAATTTAAAAGTGTAGAAATTATTCCTTGTATCTTCTCGGACCACCATGGAATAAAAGTTCAACTCAAAAGCAATAGGAATCCTCATACTCAAACAAAGTCATGGAAACTAAATAATCTTAGGCTGAATGATAGCTGGGTCAAAGACAAGATTAAGAAGGAAATCACCAAGTTTTTGGAACAAAATGATAATAAAGACACAAATTATCAAAACTGGTGGGATACTGCAAAGGCAGTCCTAAGAGGGAAATTTATAGCATTGGAAGCCTTCATCAAGAAAACAGAAAGAGAGGAAGCCAGCAATCTAATGGATCATCTCAAGCAACTGGAAAAGGAAGAACATAGTAACCCCAAACCCAGCAGAAGAAAAGAAATAACCAAAATTAGGGAAGAATTAAATGAAATTAAAAACAAAAGAATCATTCAGAAGATCAATGAAACAAAAAGTTGGTTTTTAAAAAGATTAACAAAACTGATAAACCTTTGGCCAACCTAACCAGAAATAGAAAAGTAAAATCTCTATTATCGTCTATCAGAAACGATAAAGGAGAAATAATAACAGACATTTCAGAATTCAAAAAATTCTCAATAATTACTACAAAAATCTCTATTCCCAGAAATATGAAAATCTAAAGGAAATGGACCAATACTTGGAAGCATGCCACCTTCCCAGACTCAACCAGAAAGAATTAGAAAACTTGAATAGACCTGTATCAACCACTGAAATAGCATCAACAATATAAAATCTCCCAAAAAAGAAAAGTCCAGGACCAGATGGCTTCACAACTGAATTCTATCAAACCTTTCAAGAGGAACTAGTACCTATCTTATACAACGTTTTTCAAAGCTTAGAAAAAGAAGGAATACTTCCCAACACATTCTATGAGGCAAGTATCACCCTGATACCCAAACCAGGAAAGGATCCAACAAAGAAAGAAAATTATAGACCAATATCATTAATAAATACTGATGCAAAAATATTGAATAAGATCTTAGCAAACAGAATTCAACAACATATCAAAAAAATTATACACTATGATCACATTGGTTTTATTCCAAGGTTACAGGGTTGGTTCAACATATGCAAATCTATAAATATAATACATCACATCAATAAAATAAAAAACAAAGACCATATGATTCTCTCAATTGACGCAGAAAAAGCCTTTGATAATATCCAGCATCCTTTCACGATCAGAACACTTAAGAAAATAGGCATAGAAAGGACATTTCTTAAACCAATAGAGGCTATCTACAGCAAACCCACAGCCAGTATCATATTGAATGGTGTAAAAACTGAAAACATTTCCACTCAGATCAGGAATGAGACAAGGATGCCCATTGTCTCCATTGCTCTTCAACATAGTAATGGAAGTCTTAGCAATCCAGAGAAGAGAAGGCAATCCAGGGTATCCAAATAGGGTCAGAGAAGATCAAACTCTCACTCTTCACTGCTGACATGGTCCTATACCTGGAAAATCCTAGGGACTCAACTTCAAAACTCTTAGAAGTGATCAAGAATACAGAAGTATCTCAGGATACAAAATCAATACTTACAGTCAGTAGCTTTTATATATGCCAACAATAGTCAAGCTGAAAATATAGTCAAGGACTCTATTCCTTTTACAAGAGTGCAAAGAAGATGAAATATCTGGGAATTTACCTAACAAAGGAAGTGAAAGATTTCTATAAAGAGAACTATGAAACTCTGAGAAAAGAAATAGCTGGAGATGTTAACAAATGGAAAAACATACCATGCTCATGGCTGGGAAGAAACAACATTGTTAAAATGTCCATACTACCCAAAGCAATCTACAGATTTAATGTAATCCCTATTAAAGCACCATTATCATACTTCAAAGAACTTGAAAAAATAGTACTTCATTTTATATGGAATCAGAAAAAACCTCGAATAGCAAATACATTACTCAGAAATAAGAACAAATCAGGAAGTATCACGTTACCAGACTTCAGGCTATACTATAAATCTATAGTGCTCAAAATAGCATGGTACTGGCACAAAAACAGAGCAGTAGATTCATGGATCAGAATAGAGAACCAAGAGATGAACCCAGCTACTTATTGTCATTTGATCTTCGACAAGCCTATCAAAAATGTTCAGTGGGGGAAAAACTCCCTATTTAACAAATGGTGCTGGGTAAACTGGCTGGCAACCTGTAGAAGACTGAAACTGGACCCCCACTTTTCACCATTAACAAAAATTGATTCTCACTGGATAAAAGATTTAAAATTAAGACATGAAACTATAAAAATACTAGAAGACAGTGTAGGGAAAACACTTGACAAAATCTGCCTGGGAGAATTATTTAATGAGTAGTACCCCCTGGGCAATTGAAGCAACACCAAAAATACATTACTGGGATCTGATCAAACAAAAAAGCTTTTGCACAGCCAAGAGCACAGTAAGTAAAGCAAACAGATAACCTTCAGAATGGGAGAAGATTTTTGCAGGTTATGCTTCTGCTAACTAGTTGATAACTAGAATCTACAGAGAACTCAAACTAATCAATAAGAAAAGAATAAATAACCCTATTTCTATGTGGGCAAGAGACTTGAACAGAAACTTCTCTGTTGAAGACAGGTGATGGCTCATCATTCTTAATCATCAGAGAAATGCAAATCAAAACCACTTTCAGGTATCATCTAACTCCAGTAAGATTAGCCCAAATCAAAAAATCCCAATACTATAGATGTTGGTGTGGATGCAGAGAGTAGGGAACGTTTCTACACTGCTGGTGGAACTGCAAGCTAATACAACCATTTTGGAAAGAAGTTTGGAGAACACTCAAGGAACTAAAAGTAGACCTACCATTCAATTCTGCAATTCCTCTACTAGGTATATACCCAGATGATCAAAAATTATTTCACCACAAAGACATTTGCACCTGAATGTTTATTGCAGCCCAATTCATAATAGTCAAGACATGGAAATAGCCCAAGTGCCCATCTACTCATGAATGGATTAACAAATTGTGGTATATGTACACCATGGAATACTATGCAGCCATAAAAAGATGGAGCCTTCACATCTTTCATGTTCACTTGGATGAAGCTGGAACATATTCTTCTTAGTAAAGTATCTCAAGAATGGAAAAAAAATATCCATTGTACTCAATACTACTATGAAATCAATATCTAACCACCTATACTATACACTCATACGAATGGCAAAACATAACTATAGTCCAGAAAATAGAAGGGAAGAGGAGAGAGAGGGGAGGGGAAGGGGAATATGGGAGGAGGGAAGGTATTGGGGGGGACCTCACCTAATGTGCATTTTGTTTTGGTATATTTCAAAACTATTAAGAAATGAGTATAATTGTGATGGATGTGTTACTTAGTTCAATGTAAGCATTTCACATTGTATATAGAAGCAGTACCCCGAACCCCATAAATGCCTCAATGTACAAAGTTATGATTTAATAAAAAAATTTTAAAAATTAAAATAATAATAAAAAAAGATTTATAGCATGATGGGTAAATAATCTGGTCAACCAGAAATCTTAAATTCATTTCTTGGCCACACATAAAGATCAAGCTGCCATGTAAAGTTCACATGTTCTTTTAAAAAATATTTGTTCCTATAAATACATAAATATCTATGACCTTTGTAAATTATTGCTCTCAAAAAGTCTACATTTCGGAAACAGTACAATTTTTGGACATTGGGAACGTGAGCTCCCACCCTTTAGTACAAACAAGGGGGCTGACATTGCTGAGACAGCTTATCAGGGAATGAGAAATATTACACAAACACACCACATACTCTGAGAAAAGAATCACGTTTCATGCATTAGCAGGAAACCAGTTTTCTCTGGACTGTCACCAGGAATTTTCAGCAACTCTCACCAGAACATTTATAATGGGGTCTAATCTTTTTCCATTGAACTTCTCTGGACTACATTTGAAAAGGTTTCTCTTTCAGAGTGAGCTTCAGGAAGAATTCTCACAGCTCAGTCATTGGGCATTTAGCAAACCTGTCACCAACCTACCTCCAGGATGCTAAGAGGGACTAGATTTTGAAAGAATTCAAGCTTTCAAGATGTGTTCAGATGGGTCTGCACCAGCTGTACCTACCGCTACCACATCACCCCAGACTCCCCAAATGGCCACTCTGGAGCAGCTCTCACGTGGAATGGCTCAGACCAAAGGAGGACCTGATGGAAGCAGGAAGGCTGTCCACATCTTACCATGCTGCTGAGGCTGTCTGTTCTAGAAATTGGGGGGTCTTCAGTGGCATCCCAGCCCACAGAACTTCGGGGCACTGGAGGTTTCTTGGGGTCATTTTGAGGGGCTGGGGGTGACAAGGGTGCATCCTTGGACTTGGGGAAGAGAACTTCATGGTCTCTGATCATCATAGTCATCACTCTTTGGATCTGAGGAGTCCCTGAAAGAAAGAAAAAGAAAATTGTAGTTTTGAAGCATGGGATGAAAGATAGGTAGAGTTCCAGAGTCTCCACCCAGGGGATGTCTCCAAAATTGGCTTTATAACCACAGGGCCCAAAGGGAGGCCCATTTTGTTCCCCACAGGACCCTTTTTAATTGCCTAGGGTAGGAGATTATGGTTAAAGGGATGAAATAGAAGAATATGGGAGTAGGGTCAAATAGGGAGCTACTATGGTTATTTTCAGCCTATAGTCCACTAGATTAGTTTTTGATCAGGAAATATAACAGGAGAGAAAAAGAAGACATCTTTCTCTTCTGAAGTGGTTCTCAATATGACATCTGCTTTCTCATAGACACAGCAAATATGTGCCAGGCTCACTGCCCTCCCCATGGCAGATGTTAGTACTCTATGCCAGGAGTCTTGCTCATTGAGTCAAGACAACTTCAGAAGCCTACTCAACACAGCTTTAGAAGAAGACTTTTTTGAACTGGCTTATAAAATGATACCGGTTTGCTCTGTCCAGCTAAGGGTATTTAAAAGTAATAAAGGACCATGAAACACCAGCAAACTATTTTGGTGCTAGCCTGTTGTACTGTGTGACCCCTGGGCAAATCCTTGATCTCTCCCCTCTGCTGTGATCCGAAAAATGGCTGTAATTCCTACCTCGCCTATCTCACAGGGCTATTGTGGTATTCAGATGAGATAATCAGCTGAAAATGCTTGGCAGACCGCAGAGCAGTGCACAAACATCAGAGGCTATGTCATAATTGTTGTTCCTTCCTCTGCACCTGCCTTGCCACAGGACCAGCCATACCTCTCATGATCACTGCAGGGTCCTCAACCTTTGACCTAATGAGATTCACACCAATCACAGTGGCCAGGTTGTCCACACTCATCTTGTTAACGGCACAGTTCAGCTGGATTTCATGTAGGAACCTGCAGGGCACCAAGAAACCGCATAGTATAAAACAGGAAGTGGTTGGGGGAAGCACTTCAAGATACCAACAAGCACTCAGGGTTGGATCCCAACTGTCCTTCTGGTCTCAGGAATGGGACCAGCCTGCTCTGCCCTCAAGATTTTAGCTTATTCCTGAAATACCCAGGACCAAGAAAGGAAGAGAAAGCAGGAGGGGCCTGCACAGTTGCTGGGGGCTAAGTGGGCACCGCACAAGCAGGAGGCAGGTCCTGGGTATTTCTGGCAGGTCCTGGGTATTTCTGGGAGCCCAGAGGAGTCTGGAAGGACCAAAATGGGTATTTGGTTGCCTCCTTGTCTTGCCTTACAGACCTGTTTCCCAGCTCTCAGCACCTGTCCCACCCAAGTCTCCAGGGAGGAAACCTTTATTGGTAAGAAGGTCTCAGACACAAGGAATCCATGGTGCCTCCTCCTTATTCTCATCCTCTGATTAGAGCACCAAGCATCATTAATTTTTAGCAGGTGCTCAATAACTAACACAATGTTCACTACAATTTGAATGTTCTCTGCTCATTTGAATCAAGAGCTCTCAGATTCACTGTAACAAAACAAAAACAACAAAAAAACCCTGAGCAGATCAGTAGGGAATTTTTAAATACTCTATCTAAAACCATTTTTTAAATGAATAGATTGAAGCAACATAAAACTCCAAATACAGAGAAATTATTAAATACACGTAAATGGCGATGTGTCCAAATGACGAAACATTATGAAATATCATGGAGTCATTGATAATCCTGTTTTATAACATAGGGAAATGCTTACATTGTAACATTAAATCAAAAAAGACAGGATATAACTTTCATATAGGTATATAGTATAATTTCAATTTGATATTTAAAAGGTTATTCTTCTATATTTATATTGAATGAAAAGATCTATCACAAAGAGAAAACATCCAAATGGGGAAATGCCTGATGTTGACAGTGATTATTGCTGGGAGAGGGAATTGTAGGGATTATAGGTACATTTATTTCTTATTTATAGTTTACTTTCCAGTTTTCAAATCAAGTATCACCTTCATAATTTGAAAACTTTAACAAATCATTTTTTAAAAATATAATAAATGACAAAATTTGGATCTGGAATCAAGACCCTGATTCCCAACCCAGCAAGATTTGAGTCAGTCCACATCCAGATGTTGCCACAGGGAAGGTCCAGAGCAGGTCCTCAGAAAGGGCTGAGAAAGATAGAAGGGCCTGGCCCAGAAGGAGTATCTTCAGCTAAATTATGGCTCAGAGTCATCAAGATGGGAGGTGATTCTAGATATAAGGATTTGAGGTTCTCTTGTGTGTCCCAGGACTCCCAGGCAGGGCTGAAGACAGGAACATGTTCATTCTGTGTGCAAACCCTGTTTCCAGGGATCCTTGGAATTATCTTGTGAAAACAGGAACTTAACCTCAGTGCTGTGTGAATGGAATTGATCTTCCAAAGTTCTAGACAGAATCTCTGAGTTTATAGAGACAGCCCCTCCTTGTCTAACCAGAGACTTCTCTCTGAGGCAGCTGAATGCTGTAACATTGATGTCAGAGGACTCTCACCTGCAGAGGTAGCTCAGGAGACTATAGTTATCACGAGGAAGGATGGAGAGCTGCTTCATCAACTCCTGCTGAGCCTGGGAAGAGATTTTTTAACTCCAGTAAATGAGCCTGCCCACTTGCCCGCAATGAGACTATCTTCACATCCCCAAATGTTATCGGTGCAGAAACAACACCTTGGCAATCACTCCTGATCCTATAGTTTGTGGGTGAAAAATAATAATAATTAACTTCGAAAAACTATAAATTTTCAAAAAATTGTAAAAAATAGCATAGAGAGGGTTGTAGTTTTGGGTAAGGTGTATTTTTTGTCTGTCTTTAATTATGCCACTCTATCCCACTTCTAACTCCAACCTACTCTACCCCAAGCAAGGACTGACAACTCAGGCACTAATTGTTTGCTTAATGAATGCTTGAGATGTAATAATCCAATAAAGAACTGGACCATAAATATCTCAGAATCACTTTAAGACTAGTAAGAAAGGGAGAATACTTTATTTATTTATTTATGTTTTAAAAATAAGACCTCAATTTATTGCCTAGGCTGGAGTGCAGTGCTGATCACAGCTCACTGCAACTTCAAACTCCTGGGCTTAAGCAATTCTTTCAGCTTCCCAGTAGCTGGGACTACAGACGCATACCAACATGACCAGCTGGTTTTACTATTTTTAGTAGTAACTGGGTCTCACTCTTGATCAGGTTGGTCTGGAACTCCTAAACTCAAGTGATCCTCCTACCTTGCCTTCACAGAGTACTAGGATTACAGGAGTGAGCCACCGCACCTGGCCTGAGGATACTTCTGAGAAGAGTCTCAAACACTGTGGCCTTGCTCAGACCTGCTGGGATGCAAGGACAGGCTGCCTATACTGGAGGACAAGTGTGAGGTCAGGCTGCTCAAGCTCTGTAGTGGCCACGAGTGTCACACATGGTTGTTCAAAGAGCACATGTGCTGGGGAGAAAAAAGATAGAGAGCTTTTCTTTGTTCATTTCAGCCAGAGCTGCCCACAGGGTCTGTAATTGCCAACTGCAAGGGCGTGCCCATGAGAGTACACAAGTTCACAGGCATGTGGGTGCTCCCCAAACGTGAGCACCTCCTCACAAACCTGTGCTCTTCTAGAGAAAATGTGCCCTCCAAGCCTGTCAGCCCACCCATAGGCAGCACCTTAGACCTTCTTATGTAGAGTATCTGCCTCATGCCAAGATCTACCCCCTTCATGTGACTCAAGCACATTCTTTGCAAAATTTGCTACAGCCTCACCCCTCCCAGCTACACCTCTGCCACATTTTCACCAGTGAGAAGGACCTTGTGCCTTTGTCTGCTGCAGATATGCATTGCTGTAGATCTGGACACTCTCAGACAGTTGAGATTGAGAAAAGCTGGGAGAAGCAGGTCTGAAGTGAGAAAGTTCACGGGAGGGAATCTTATAGTCACAACGGCATCCAAGTGTTTTCTTTACGTTCCCTACAGCTGAGGCATGAGATGCTATGGAAACACTTTTATTTTTAGCTGATTTTAAAACCTTATTTCATAGTTTTATTACTTCCACACAAATGAGCTGATATACTTATATAAATTCAGACTTTTCTCCCTCTCTAATTAATAAATAAATTATCTACAAAATAGCCTACATCAGATCATGCAATCTAATCTTGGTTAGGAAAACAGCTGTAACAGCTACAGCATAGCCATACTGTTCTTAGTCTCTTCCTTTCCTAATTTTGAAATATCAAATCACTTTTTTTTTTAAATCAAATCACTTTTCCTTTCATGCCAGGATCTACTCAAATCATGAGGCTCCCCACTCCCAGAAAGGATGGGATTTCTCATGGGGCACCATTTCTTCCTTCATTTTTAAAGTGTATATTCTGGAGAGCAGAATATATAACAAATTCTCAAATAGAAGAGACTAAAATTATCCTCATACCAATATTTTTTAAAAAGCTACTCACCTGTCATACTCCTGGGCCCTCAGAATAATCCTGGGCATAGTTGATATTATAAAAATTCTCTAAGTGTGTGCTAGCCAATATAGCAGTTACTTTGCCACTGGTGGCCACTTATATTTAAATAAATTAAAATGAAATAAAATTAAGAATTCCACTCCTCAGGGGCAATAGCCACATTCTAAGCCCAATAGCCATGTGCAGCTAGTGGTTACCACACTGGACGATGCAGATATACAACAGTTCCATCAGCATAGAAAGGTCTATAGATCTAAGTCAGCGGTTCTCAACCTGTGGGTCACAACCCCTTTGGAGGTTGAACGACCCTTTCCCCTTTCACAAGGGTTGCCTAAGACCATTGGAAAACATACATTTCTGATGGTCTTAGGAACTGAGACACAGCTCCTCATGTGTGGGGTTACCACAATATGAGGAACTGTATTAAAGGATTGTGGCATTAGAAAGGTTAAGAACCACTGGAAGTAAATAAATGGAATCTCACAGATGATGCATAATTTGCCTAATGGCTAAATCAAAATTAAATCTAGGTCTTCATTATAGGTTTTTCTTTGTACCACTTTGCTACAAAGAGCTTTTAACATAGTTGTGATAAAAACCAACCTACTTGAAGGAATTAAACCCCCCCCCAATATTAGAAGTGCAACACAAATGTATTCATGCATCATTTGGTTTTGAAAATCTTAGTTAAAATCAATGAAGGTGTTACTGTTGTTAGTTGCTTCTCTTTTTTAGTTTTTTCTTTTGGTGGAGGGGGCTGTTGATCAGTTTATTGCCGTGACTCCAGTGTGGTGATTGTTGACTATAAGGCCTCTATGATGAAAAATCCTGCTGGCGAACTGGTCTCCTCTCATAAGTATGATGTTGCAGACTACAGCCCCTAGGAGCTAGAAACAACAAAAAAAATCTCCCTGTCCTTCCTCTTCCCCACACGTGCAGTCCTTGAACAACCATGCCTGACACTCATGGTCGCCGCAGAGCTTAAACAATTTGACCTCACATCTGCCCTCCAGTTTGGTCATCCTGTCCTTGCGTCTCAGCAGGTCTCTGCAAGGCCACAGTGCTTGACAATCTCAGAAGTAGCTTTTTTTATTTCATTACATTTAATGTGACTCAGGGGTTTTTGATTATGGTCCAACTTTTACTGGATCATCTCATCCCTCGAAGGCTATCCTTTGCCAGTCACTGTGACTGACTTCATTTGCCTTTTGTTGCTAGGGAAGTTTCAGTTTGATACTATTTCTCACCAAAAGTTATGGTGAGAAGCCTTGACCTACTGCTCTTGCCAGAGTAGTGTTCAGAAAACCAATCACCTTCTGCAGAAGCAGGGCAACCAGCTCTAATGAGATACACACCTTTGCCTCATCTGCGTTCGTGAGCTGCCCACAGAGCAGGAAGCCTTCATACTGGCCCCAGGGAACCACTGGCTCTGGGAGGTCTCGGAGGTAGAGCTTTAACAGGGAGGCCACGGTGTGCACATCTGTGTCTCTGGAAGAAAGTAAGCAACGCTCTTAGAAAAGGAAACTCTGGCTCGGCACCTATAGCTCAACCGGCTAAGGCGCCAGCCACGTACACCTAAGGTGGCGGGTTCGAATCCCCAGCCTGGACCCGCCAAACAA